TACGTTGAAATAAGTTGGAATATAAGTAAAACCTTGTTCGCTTCCACAACCGAGCTTGGGACATCGTTGCGTAGAGACTTGAGGTTGGAGCTTCTTCGATGAGACACCTTCTCCCTCTGTTGCTCGAGCCTTGAATTCGTCAACCTTCTTTAGTGCACATTGACATTGGTAGTTGTTTTCAGGGAGCACAACAGAATCCGTAGAGGTTTCTTGAGATGCTTCCGATATGTTGCCCTCGTGAATCACAGCAATCATTGCTGTTAGCCTCAGAATTGCATCTGAAACATTCTTCAAACCATCTTGAATACCATCCAACTTTTCAGTCAGAATTTTCTGATTTTTATCGACTGCGTCCAAACACATCTGTGTTTGAATTGCAGAATACATCGATGTTACAAACGTTTCCCTTGGCAAAGCCAATAACAAACCTTGAAAGCTCTATTCTAGCGTCGATGAGTCTCACAAACAGAGAGATTTCATCCTTATATATATACTAAAACGTTAAAGCAATGTACTCTTTAGTTAAAAGGAAATAGTAGCAAAGAAATGGCAAATTCTAAATAGTTTCCTAAATCAAGAAATAGAAATTTTACTTAAGTAAAGGAACGTACATCTCAAGTGTATCACATCTATTTACTTTTTTCTAAATATTTGATTATGTTAACATATTTTTCAAATGGCACTGATTTTCTTCTGTTTGCTTCATTTCTCTGTGTTGCTTAAGAGGTTAAGCATTGTTATCAACCAATCAAGGTTTCATTGACGGATGGCACAATGAGGGTACAATTTAAAATTACTTCAACTCAGTTGGCTTTGGTGTTAATACCATCTATGTAGGTCAAACTTTGTCATTGCAGATAGCAAACACTCACTTTTTCGATACAACACAAGGATTAGAGTTTAGCTGGAAAATTCATGGGGATGGTCTTGAACTTGGCTCTGGGATTCTCTCTACTCCTGTGATAAAGCCACAGAATAGTTTTGATATGGAATGGAAGTCAGGTCCATGGTTTTCTCTCTGGAATGACTCGAATGCTGGAGAATTGTTTCTGACAATAACTGCCAAGCTTTTAAACCCTACTCGCTCGCTTGAAGCTGGTCATCTTTTGTCTTCAACCCAGATTCCTTTACCAGCAAAGAGACAGATAATACCGCAGGTAATTCCCACATACTCTACAAATCATATCTCTTTTGGAAAGATCTCTCTTCACTCCGCTAGAAAATATGAAGTCATGAAAATTGTAAGTGACCTCCTGTTCTAGGCAATAAAAAAGACAGACACTACCATCACTTGTGAAACCGTTGGAGATGTCATTAAGATCAGCCAGCAAGATTCATGGGAGCTAATGATAAATGTCCGAAAAGGAGCCATTGAAGGTTGGAAGGTAAGTTCCTTCCTGTTTATATTTGGGAAGCTCTTAAACTATTTCTTAATGCATAAAAGTATAGGAAAGAAGTCTTATTTACTGCAGGCATATAAGTTGCCCAAGTAAATGATAATATTGGGTCTATGTAAGCGGTTATAACCGGTTTCCTGATGTACTAAATTCATTTGGGGTTTAATGAGAACGTAGTTGTAGCAAAGAAAGAACTACGATAGGAAAAAGGTATATAACAAGCTAGGCAAGGAAGAAAACTACAAAATGTAAAACGAAAGCATGATATATATTCAATATTGATGTTCTTTTCTTGGTTGGTGTTCCAATTGAAGTTATACACTTTTGGTGAGCATGTTTATGTTCTGAAGATTATCTCAAAATGACAGATTCAAGGAGTTCTCCTAATGAATGAAGCTATACTGCCATGCTTTTGGCGAGCACCTACAGACAATGATAAAGGTGGAGGTGACTCTAGTTATTTTTCGAGGTGGAAAGCAGCACAGTTGGATAATGTTGAGTTCCTTGTTGAAAGCTGTTCAGTAAAGAGCATCACTGATGAATCTGTTGAGATAGAGTTAGTTTACCTCGGTATCCCAAGAGACGAAGAAGAAGACGGTTCTAAACCTTCTGACTCTTCGAAACCAGATGCCTTGTTCAAAGTCAATGTGACATATATGATCTATGGTTCTGGAGATATCATCACCAACTGGTCTGTCGTTCCAACCTCTCATCTTCCACCGCTACCACGTGTAGGTATTGAATTTCACATTGAAAAAACATTGGACCATGTAGAATGGTATGGAAGAGGTCCTTTTGAGTGTTATCCAGACCGGAAATCAGCAGCTCACGTGTCGATATATGAACACAATGTTGGAGACATGCATGTCCCGTATATTGTTCCAGGAGAATCCGGAGGTAGAACAGACGTTAGGTGGGTGACATTCCGAAACAAGGATGGTGTAGGACTATATGCTTCAACATATGGTAGCTCTTCTCCAATGCAGATGAACGCTAGTTACTATACAACTGGTGAGCTTCACCGTGCAACGCATGAAGAAGATCTTATCAAAGGACAAAACATGGAGGTAGTATTTTTTTTCATTGACGACTCTATTGTTTTGCATTTGGTTAGCTTTTTGACTTTGTCATTTCAATGGTGATCATTTCGCAGGTGCATCTGGACCATAAACACATGGGGATTGGAGGAGATGATAGCTGGACTCCGTGTGTTCACGATAAGTATCTGATTCCGCCCGAACCATATTCATTCTCACTCAGGTTGTGTCCAATTACCCCAGCCACTTCGGTCCTAGACATCTACAAGGATCAACTTCCCTCTTCTTAAGAATCTCTTCTTGCACATATCACTTGAATGCTATACAACTAGACTTGAGAGTGCAATGTTTCTACGTTTGAATCCATAATATTCAGTGTGATGTTAATAAGATACTAAACCATTCAAATAAATTATCTGAATCCAACTATTAAACCCAATTTGAGAAAACAAAACACACTTTTAGTTTCTTGATAAGATTGTATAGTGTGTGTTAGATCAAAAGTCAAATCTAGAGAGAGAGAGAGTACTGACTACTGAAGCACATAGACAAACAAAGTGGGATAATAAATGTGGCCTAAAAAGCCATTTTAGGCGGGTGCTTTACCAATGAAAAGGGGACCCACCCACTTAAAAAAAAATTCATTTTCTGCAGACTTTTTTAACCATTAGAGAGACATGTGACCACAGAAACTCTCGTAAAAAAAAAAACGATTCCTTTCTTTTTCACTCATCTTCTTCCTAATGCTCTCTCTCACTACTCACTAGACTAGCTAAGCTCCTCCTACACTAGCTTCTACAACAACATAGCCTCCACGCGCTTATATTACACTGCCACAGTGGCAAACCCACCTTCTTCCCTCTCATGGCCACCGCCGCAAAACCCATCATCAACAGCTTTTTCGGCCGTAGCCGCCACCGCCACCGCACCTAATCCCTCCTCCTCCGTCGCCGGAATCAGTGCACCAGAATACATGCTAGGCCTTCGAAACATCCTTCTCTTACCACCACCGCAGACAACACAACCGCCGCCGGTAAACTTCGCGGCGGTGGAAAAGGAAAACAGTAATGTCGGAGAGAAAGTGTGTAAAGACTGTGGAAACAGAGCAAAGAAAGAGTGTTTATTCGAAAGGTGTAGGACTTGTTGTAAAAGCAGAGGTTACCATTGTGTTACTCACGTTAAGAGCACATGGGTTC